CTGTAGTACTATTTATTAACTCAAGGTGAATGCTGTAGTGAATGGTACTACGTATTAGAAAATAGAGATTACTATATAGCAGAAGAAAAACAGGAAATGAATCTTATAACCAAATAGTTTTGCTATTCATTCAAATGTCTTATAACAGAGAAGTAATAGACAATGTCTGGATTCATGCTTTTCTTTACAGGATTATGTGTTGTTCCTTGTCTTTAGATGCATAGTTCTCTTCGGTCTCTTCGTAATAGTGCAGCTAAGAAGAGAGCAAAATTGAACGGCAGCACTTCTGATCTTGAAAGCCCTGATTCAGTGTTGAAGCTTGATCTAACTTCAGAGTCACCTTCCGGCTTGTCATCTCCAAGTACTAGTTCTTACAGTGAAAGTGGAGTTTATAGTCTTGAGTCTGTAACATCCCCACTCTCTACAGCCCCGCAAGGGTTAAGAACAATGTAAGTTTATTCAGAAGTTAAGAATGATATATAAGTTCGGAGAAAAGATTGTGCTTGATCATGGTTTCCACTAAGCTACTGTAGTGTTGTTTAGCTATCTTAGTTTGTTTTTCAACCAAGCAGTCAATTACTTGGAGAGGATTGTTGATCTGGAAGTGTTGTTACACTATTTGGATCAGAAGAGCACAGCTCTAAGACCTCATAGTCGCCTCTGGGCCAATTTGTGTGTAGCCTCAAAGATTTCTAATATTTCTTAACAAATTATAGCAGCTCCTGAGTAAATAACTGAGTGGATGGTAATTAGCAGAATTTAATTTTAATTAAACGTAATTCACATTTAAAAAAGTAATGTCTTGTCTTGGCTACACTTGCTACTTTTGGAGTATATGCATTGGCCTTGAAGAATTGTCTGTTGGATTTGGAATAATGTTGTAAAACCCCCTCAAAATGTTTAACTATCTGCAACTGAGATAGCTAAAGCTATACTTGTCAATATCATCAATTGTTTGTGAAGCATAGCTATTTACCTCATGAACTTCATATCTTAGGAAGTTGATTAACTCAGCTAAGTTTGTCTGCCTTAATTAATAACTATCCCAAAGGTGCTTTTTCACAAGGCAACTGGATTTTCTTGTTTTTCTTTGAAGACATTTCATTTCTCATCCATGAAACTTCTTCAGCTCTTCGCTTCTTGGATGAGAAGCAAAACATTTTCAAAGAAAAACAAGAAAGTCGAAACGTCTTCAAAGAAAAACAAGAAAGTCCAGTTGCCTTGTGAAAAAGAACCTTTGGGATAACTATGACCTGGATGACTGAGAATCTCCATAGACACTTAACCAATAGCAACTTTTTAGGATTTCATATGGGGATATTTTCAATCTTACCTGTGTATACAAAGCAGGTAATCTGACATTTACCTTATGGTCCCTGAATTTACAACTTTGAAGATAAGAATATTGTAATTCACATTTAGATATTTTAATACTCTAACAATGTCTATATGGCAATTCTTCCCCCTCCTACCCCATTCCTCCCATTTAGACAAGAGGGAGGGGAACATTCCTGACAACATATTAATGCAACTATTGTAGCTTTATGATTGAATAGTAAGTGTAAAACTCATTGTCTTAATCCTGCTGAATCTTGTAACGGATCACTTTTTTCGCTTTGTTGAATTTCTAATTGGAAACACTTCTTTCAACTTACTATCTTGATGCCAGCTACATGCAGTGTTTTTTGAAAAAGTAATTAATTTTTTCTTGTGCATGCAATCCATAGATAGCTTGTTCAGAATAATTTGAGAGTCAACATTGGAGGGTCTGTAAAAAGTTGGTGTATGTTAATTTTAAATATTTTTCTGTTTTAATAGATCAGATATCTTTTATCTACCTGGAAGTAATTCCCGCCCCACAAAGCTCTCACCTGCACGGAATCGAAGCTCTATTATTGTGGAGCAGAATCCCAGTGCAGGTATGGTATTGAGAATAGGAGGAAATATTGGATTTAGTAAAATCAAGACATTTTAGTTGTTTGTAATATACCATATCTCTCCAGTATATTCAATCAAATATAATAAAATAGTAATGCATATAGATACGCACATACCCATACATATATTTTACTGTTTTGTATCTGTACTTGTACTTGATGAGTATATTAATATCAAGGTTTTGGATCCTGATAAAGAGAATATTAACTGTGCTATATCACTGAGAAAACTCAGAACCACTACCAAATAATTTTAAATGTATTTCACAGTTGGTTTTTATTTATTTTTTACTAAGAAAGCTATGCATTTTCTGTAGCATAAAATTAGAATTATTCATAATAGTATTGATTGAATGAACCAAGGAGTAGGGAATAAGAAACAGAAGATATGAATAGAGAAGGTCATCAGAAAATAGTTGAAGGCATATCCCCAAAGAGAAAACAGCCAAATTTTAGAAGTGTGATGCTGATCGTGCAAGAGGTACAAAGGAAAATATAATCATAGGTACATTTAGAAGAAAAGGTTCTTCTGAATCTTTCTGAAAGGTCAGAAAAGGTGTTTTTTCTGTGAAAATCCACTACATGCACTGCTGATACTACCTCCCAATGGTCTACCTACCTCTAGACATGTTCAGAATGGGTTAGAAGAAGGGAATAAAGGGAGATAGCAGTCTGATTTAAAACATTGGTATATAAAAATAGTTGACCTATTCTCTGTTGCCTTTGAGAGCAGAACGGAACCAATGGATGTAACTACAGGGAACTTTAGATATCATTAGATGTTTGGAGGAATTTTATATTAACTTCTTTATGTTTTAGTTTATATAATTTTTCTCTTTTATGATTGTAAGCCACCAGAGTTACCTTGAGATAAGATGTGCAGGCCTTTAAATTTTATAAATATAAACAGTTAGAAAATTTATTTATAAATAAAATAAATAAATAAAATTTTTGACTCTAGGATTTGCTAACCAGAGCAATAGGTTGCCTCGCGAAGTGGCATGTTTCTCTTTACTCGATGGATTTAGACAATAAAAATGTTACTGTCTGAAATGCTTTGGCAGAGTTTAGCAGAGTTTTAACCAAGCCAGGAGTTGGATCAGATTATCTATTGTGGTACAGTTCAGTCATCCTGTAATTAACCACTGCAGTAGCAAAAATACATGTGCTCCTAAGTGAATAAGGGTCATGACTGGTTATGATGAGGAATCATTGGGACTTGAATTACCATAAGGCAGTGATGGCGAACCTTTTAGAGACTGAGTGCCCAAACTGCATCCCAAAACCCACTTATGCATCGTCGGGTGCTGGGTGGGTGTGGCCCATTGGGTGGGTGTGGCCATTGGATGTGTGTGGCTACGATGGTAACAGCAGACTGGGTGGGACTAAAAAGTTCAATCAATCAATTCCAACTTTGCAAGATCTTTTTTGTTCCCGCAAGAAGTTGAAATTGACTGATTGATTGAACCTTTTTTTTTGTACACGGCAGCAGAGGCCTAAAGCGAAAAGGTTTTATAAAATCCTAGGACTGAGGCGACGGTGCGCGTGCCCACAGAGAGGGCTCTGAGTGCCGCCTCTGGCACCCGTGCCATAGGTTTGCCACCACTGCCATAAGGAATCCCAGGCCCTTGTGTGGCAAAGTGCAGTTCAGAAAACAAACGTGGAATGGAGTAAAAGTAACAGTGCATTTCTTACACTCTGACTAGTTGTCGTTTTTGTATAATGTGCAATGACAGGTAGCTTTGTACAGCCTGTCAACATTTTTTTTTAAATAATATAAGTAGTCCTTGAATTTCAGCCATAACAGCACTGAAGAAAACTGGACTTAAGAATAGTCCTTGAAGTAGCAGCTGTCATGACGTCTCTGTATCAAATTATCAAGATTTGGATTCCCGGCAATTGGTCCATGTTTGTGGGCCATCAAAGCATCACACTATCACATTCTTCTGCCTTTCTGAACTACCTCTGCTTTAACTCCCCCCATCTGCCTATTTCTCTCCCACACACACATCTCTGCCCTTTTGGCCAGCCTGCACAATTTGGTCAAGATGAAGAATCCACTGTATGCTGTCACCACCTTTGCCCACAGCTGATCTTCATGGTATTCTTCACTTTGCCTTCTCTATGCTGGACTCACCAACAACCATGTATGCATGATCCCTGGCTGGCAATGGTCTGCTGAAGTGGGGCAGAGGTTCACCTGGAGCCTGGCAGCTGGGGAGGTGGAGGCGAGCTGTTGAGCTTGAGGGTGACCATGGCAGGGAAGCGAGGCAAGTCAAAGAAGGTGGCAGAAAGTTCAGTCATGCTGTGCAGGATGGCTGAAAAGGCAAGAGATGGGAGAGAAAGGCAGATTGAAGTGGAGGAAGTTTGTGTAGTTTGTTTCTCTCCTAAACAGGACAGCCAGAATTGCTGTCACTAACCAACACAGCCATGTGATGGTTTGTTTATCAAGTGCTTCACTTAGCAACAGAAATTCTAGTCCCAGTTTGGGGGACTAGATATAAATTGACAGCCAGCATGGCCCAAAAAACATGTTTCAGAGCACCTCCAAGCATCTCCACTACTGACAAGTTCAGTGCTTCTGCCACTCTGCTAGGTGCAGAACGACTGATTGGCACTCAGATATCTCCTTGCAGTCCATGAGAATTTTTAATTTGGCAATGTGGTCCTTTCCCTAGACAAATTGTGCAGTCCTGTGCTGTAGCCCTTCATCTGTATAATATAAAGCAGACGTGTATGTGTGCATGTAGACTATAAAATAAAGATATCGTTGTCTCTACTGGGCAGAATTTGTGTGAAATAATTCTACAGGTGCCATATTTGAAATTTTCCTGTGATGTTTGCTTATCCTTCAGGAACAAGGTTTCATGAAAAGGCAACTTCCTATGTAAGTGTTAGCAGCCAGCATCTGAGCTGTGGAAATGGATCAGGAGATTATGAAGATGATAAACAGAAAGTTTTGTCTCCTGCCAGTCTAAAAGGCCAGAGCAAAGAGTATCAAATGCACTGTAAATCCACAAAAGGTGAGTAATTATGGATGTCACAGAATTGGAGGAAGAATTGAGAGGAGGATATGGAACTGTAACCTAATTATCTGTTGCTTACTTTTCTGGATAGAGGCCATATCTGCCTTACTTCTTTTCACTCCTTTCCTTCACTTACTGTAATTAGTTCATGCCATAGTTGTATAAAGTAAAATAGAAATCAGGAGCAGCAGAATCCAGCTTTCTAGTAAAATTAAGGTAAAATTAACTTCAGAGTATGGAGGAAATAATCACACAAAATAAAAGCTATGCTATTTGAGAGTTAGTAGTATTTATTGATAATCCAGAGTCTTCCATGGTAAAATTATTAAAAATAACTTATTGTTTTTAAAGACTTTACTAGAACTGAATTGATGCCTTTGCGGTTGACTGTGCTATCAAATCAGCTTTTCCTGTGCATTTTCAATAGTATCTTCTCATTTTTCACTTTGGAAACTTCAGTTGTTAATCACTGAAGGAGGTTTCAGTGTAGCATTTTATCTAAATCATTATATATGTATCATTATATGTAATTTATATTTGGCAAGGATAATAGTAATAATAATAATAATAATAATAATAATAATAATAATAATAATAATAATAAAGTTGGAAGGGACCTTGGAGGTCCCTGCTCAGGCAGGAAACCCTATACCATTTCAGACAAATGGCTGTCCAGTCTCTTCTTAAAAACCTCCAGTGTTGGAGCATTCACAGCTTCTGGAGGCAAGTTGTTCCACTGATTAATTGTTCTAACTGTCAGTTTTGTTTGGATAATTTTGTTTAGTGCAGAAACTATGAATTCATGTTTGTTTTCTTTTTTATTTCTCTGGCATATAAACAATTAGCTGCTCAGTTCTTTAGAGGATGATTTTTTCAGTTGGCTCATATCAAGAAATCTTATTGTGAAAAGCTTATATAGTATTGGGTATTAGTGACATGTCAAAGTTCATTTATTTTAACTTTGTGAAGAAAAAAATATTTGGGAAAAACATAATTCTGTTATAATTTTTTAAAGGATTTACAGGACCTTCTTCAAGTTTACATCAGTTGAATAGTCTAGAATACATTTCACCGAGTGCCTTGTCAGAAGACTCTGTAGTTATTGTTGGAAAAGGTATTTCAAACAATTACATTTACATTTATTATATCTTTGATTATCCTGCCTTTCATTGAAAATGATCAGAGTGCCGTTGCAAGAAAACATCAAATATACCCAAAATAGAGCAGTGATTCTTATATGCCTTTGATGAAATGTGCAATATTTATGGATAAGCAATTAGGAATTAAACATTTAAAAATCTGTTCTATGTCTTTGAGCCTTACTGGATAGTGCACTATGTGCATTTCAACACTGCTAGCTGAAGACCAAATATTTAAAAAGGACCAAAAAATTTAAAAAGGACAAATAACTTATACACATTGAAGAGACATGGTACTGTTCCTTTTTGGTTAATTCGGTTCCAAAAACTATTTTAAAACAATATTTTAATTAAATTTCTTGCATACAAATATGGAACAAAATTAAGCTTTGATTCTAGTGTTGCCGGCCACTTTACCACAGAAAATTCTTCGGACAACACTGGCTCCCTTGGCCAAGAAACGTAGATGAGCACCGTGCCCTAGAGTTGGACATGATTGGACAAGCAAACCTTTACTTTTATCTTTTTTTATTTTTTGGTAATCCAATGAATTGTGCATTTCAGGAATGTTTGAAAGCCCCTCTTCATTTCCTACCTATGGTCAATCCATAATATTCTCCATGGAGAATGGAGATGCACCTTCGTTCAAACCAAAAATGGAATCACTTTCTGGCATCTATGGGAGAGCAGTCCAGCAGCAAAACTCTGCACCTTGCCTAGATGTGGAAAATGAAAGAGATGTAAGTATGGACATTCCATCATTTAAGAAAGAGTGCAGTCAACTCGCATAATGTTTTTTTCAGATTTCATAATGTAGTATAGCTGTAGAGAGTGGGGGCTACATGTGGATGTGTTTCCAAGTATGTCATATAATTATCAAGCGTGTATCTTCAGGATGCCATATATATCTCAATATAGTCAAATGAGAAAGCAGAAATACACAATTTGACATGCCATCCATTACTTTTATCTCACTTGTGTACATGGTGTGCATGTCCAAAAATACATATGTATACAGAGAGGTCATAATGGGCTTTCGAGTGAATTGCATATCGTTTCTGATGTTTGCTGTAGCACATTAACAAATGCATATATCTTCTTATGTTTTATTCTAAGGTCCAACAAACAAACAAATGCAAACTATTCATTTTTATTTTTACTCATTTTTATTACATTCTTATATTTAGGATTACAGTATTCCTAATACATCTTACAAGGTATATAAAAAATAGTAAGACAACAATTGTTCAGTCACTTTTATGTCCAACTCTTTGTAACCCGATGGACCATAGCATGCCCTGTCTTCCACCGTCTCCCTGTATTTGTCCAAATTCATATACATTGCGTCGTTGACACTATCTGACCATCTCATCCTCTGCCATCTCCTTTTACTTTTGCCTTCAATCTTTAGACAAACAATAATAATTATTTAAAAACATTTTTTTAAAATCCTTCTCATAGGACAGTTGATGGATATCTTATTTAGTCTCACATATTAAGTCATCATTTCATTCTTAACTCCATTTCATTTCATAAAAATTCTTGGCTTGGTTTTCTCTCATTTTCATTTAATGCTAAATGTGTATATACNCATGGCTCCCCAGCCACGTGCGCCTGGGATGGGGCCAGCCCGGGAAAGGGACTTCCTGGCCGCCCTTCTCCCAGGGGGCGGGACACCCGGGCGCAGGGCCAATGAGGAGCCCTGCGAGGGGGCAAGTCCCATGAGAGAGAGAGAGAGAGACAGAAGTGCAAGTGCCTCTGTCTCTGTCTGTCTGTCTGTCTGTCTGTCTGTCTCTCTCTCTCTCTCTCTCATGGGACTTGCCGGAGGGCCGTGGGAGGGCCGCATTTACATACCGCAGGGAGGGCTGTTCGAGGGCCGGATTAAACCGGGCCGCGGGCCGCAAATGGCCCGCGGGCCGGACTTTGGACATGCCTGACTTACTGTAATTAGTGTATGCCATAGTTGTATAAAGTAAGATAGAAATCAGGAGCAGCAGAATCCAGCTTTCTAGTAAAATTAAGGTAAAATTAACTTCAGAGTATGGAGGAAATAATCACACAAAATAAAAGCTATGCTATTTGAGAGTTAGTAGTATTTATTGATAACCCAGAGCCTTCCATGGTAAAATTATTAAAAATAACTTATTGTTTTTAAAGACTTTACTAGAACTGAATTGATGCCTTTGCGGTTGACTGTGCTATCAAATCAGCTTTTCCTGTGCATTTTCAATAGTATCTTCTCATTTTTCACTTTGGAAACTTCAGGAGGAAACTTCAGGAGGTTTCAGTGTAGCATTTTATCTAAATCATTATATATGTATCATTATATGTAATTTATATTTGGCAAGGATAATAGTAATAATAATAGTAGTAGTAGTAATAATAATAATAATAATAATAATAATAATAAAGTTGGAAGGGACCTTGGAGGTCATCTAGTCCAACCTCCTGCTCAGGCAGGAAACCCTATACCACTTCAGACAAATGGCTGTCCAGTCTCTTCTTAAAAACCTCCAGTGTTGGAGCATTCACAGCTTCTGGAGGCAAGTTGTTCCACTGATTAATTGTTCTGTCAGTTTTGTTTGGATAATTTTGTTTAGTGCAGAAACTATGAATTCATGTTTGTTTTCTTTTTTATTTCTCTGGCATATAAACAATTAGCTGCTCAGTTCTTTAGAGGATGATTTTTTCAGTTGGCTCATATCAAGAAATCTTATTGTGAAAAGCTTATATAGTATTGGGTATTAGTGACATGTCAAAGTTCATTTATTTAACTTTGTGAAGAAAAAAATATTTGGGAAAAACATAATTCTGTTATAATTTTTTAAAGGATTTACAGGACCTTCTTCAAGTTTACATCAGTTGAATAGTCTAGAATACATTTCACCAAGTGCCTTGTCAGAAGACTCTGTAGTTATTGTTGGAAAAGGTATTTCAAACAATTACATTTACATTTATTATATCTTTGATTATCCTGCCTTTCATTGAAAATGATCAGAGTGCCGTTGCAAGAAAACATCAAATATACCCAAAATAGAGCAGTGATTCTTATATGCCTTTGATGAAATGTGCAATATTTATGGATAAGCAATTAGGAATTAAACATTTAAAAATCTGTTCTATGTCTTTGAGCCTTACTAGATAGTGCACTATGTGCATTTCAACACTGCTAGCTGAAGACCAAATATTTAAAAAGGACCAAAAAATTTAAAAAGGACAAATAACTTATACACATTGAAGAGACATGGTACTGTTCCTTTTTGGTTAATTCGGTTCCAAAAACTATTTTAAAACAATATTTTAATTAAATTTCTTGCATACAAATATGGAACAAAATTAAGCTTTGATTCTAGTGTTGCCGGCCACTTTACCACAGAAAATTCTTCGGACAACACTGGCTCCCTTGGCCAAGAAACGTAGATGAGCACCGTGCCCTAGAGTTGGACATGATTGGACAAGCAAACCTTTACTTTTATCTTTTTTATTTTTTGGTAATCCAATGAATTGTGCATTTCAGGAATGTTTGAAAGCCCCTCTTCATTTCCTACCTATGGTCAATCCATAATATTCTCCATGGAGAATGGAGACGCACCTTCGTTCAAACCAAAAATGGAATCACTTTCTGGCATCTATGGGAGAGCGGTCCAGCAGCAAAACTCTGCACCTTGCCTAGATGTGGAAAATGAAAGAGATGTAAGTATGGACATTCCATCATTTAAGAAAGAGTGCAGTCAACTCGCATAATGTTTTTTTCAGATTTCATAATGTTGTATAGCTGTAGAGAGTGGGGGCTACATGTGGATGTGTTTCCAAGTATGTCATATAATTATCAAGCGTGTATCTTCAGGATGCCATATATATCTCAATATAGTCAAATGAGAAAGCAGAAATACACAATTTGACATGCCATCCATTAATTTTATCTCACTTGTGTACATGGTGTGCATGTCCAAAAATACATATGTATACAGAGAGGTCATAATGGGCTTTCGAGTGAATTGCATATCATTTCTGATGTTTGCTGTAGCACATTAACAAATGCATATATCTTCTTATGTTTTATTCTAAGGTCCAACAAACAAACAAATGCAAACTATTCATTTTTATTTTTACTCATTTTTATTACATTCTTATATTTAGGATTACAGTATTCCTAATACATCTTACAAGGTATATAAAAAATAGTAAGACAACAATTGTTCAGTCACTTTTATGTCCAACTCTTCATAACCCGATGGACCATAGCATGCCCTGTCTTCCACCGTCTCCCTGTATTTGTCCAAATTCATATTCATTGCGTCGGTGACACTGTCTGACCATCTCATCCTCTGCCATTTCCTTTTCCTTTTGCCTTCAATCTTTAGACAAACAATAATAATTATTTAAAAACATTTTTTTAAAATCCTTCTCATAGGACAGTTGATGGATATCTTATTTAGTCTCACATATTAAGTCATCATTTCATTCTTAACTCCATTTCATTTCATAAAAATTCTTGGCTTGGTTTTCTCTCATTTTCATTTAATGCTAAATGTGTATATAC